CGCTGACGTCACGGGGATTCCCTGAGCCCCCGGGGGCTAGGGAGGAGGCGTGACGTCACCGGGACCCTCTCCTGCAGTAGGCCTGTGCTGCGGGGGGAGAGTTGTGGGATATCCGGCGCTGGACACCCCCTCCCCGACTGGGATTTAGGGGGCTGCTGACGTCATGGGGAGGGGACCACTCGAGGCTGCAGGGGGGTCCTGATGTCAGGGGAGAGGGGGATCCCCGGCTCTGGGGTGGGGTGGGGAGGGGAGGGGAGGGGAGTCCTGCCCCGGGTCGCTCGCTTTGGGGAGTGGGGGGCACAGGCACGTGTGAGGAGCCCCCCGCCCTGCAGTGGGGGGAGCCGGGCCGGGGGCGTTGACGTCAGGGGGAGTCCCCGCGGTTGGGGGGAAAGTGACATCACGAAAAGGGGCAGTCCCGGCCCGGGGGTCCCGGCGGAGTGCACTTGGTGGGGGGAGTATGTGGGGGGGCTCTGACGTTACACAGGGGAATTCCAGAAAGTGGGGGGCAGGGGTGATGTCACCAGGAGCCCCTCCCACGAGGCCGGGGCGGAGCCTCCGAGGCGGAACCGGGCGAGAGCGAAAGCGAAAGGGGCGGCGGGACACACGGTCCAAGACACGATCATGGCCAAGGCCTGCGCCCTGCGCCCCGCCGGGGGGGCCGCCAGGAAGGTGGGCCGTGACGTCACGGGGACCCCCACGAGGGGTGCATCTGAGGCCAGATGGGGCTTGGGGGCTCCCCGAAAAGTCCCCAGCCTGGGGAGGGGGGTGACCTGGGGCCAGATAGAGGGGCATTACGCTTGGCGCGTGCCACCCCAGAGCCAGCCGCATTTCTGATCCTTCTCACCCTGCCCCCAGGTGGCTGCCTTCCAGGAAGCCCTCTTCAAGGAGGTAAGTAGCCCCCAGCTACCCCCCCCCTTATTGCCCCTCCAAGTACCTGCCCCATGTGACTCCCTACCCCGGTTTTTCACCCCCAGGCTGAAGAGTTCCTGGCCACGTTCCTACCCCAGAAAATCCTGCAGCTGGACAAGCTCCTGAAGGTATGAAATTGCCGCCCCCTCTCCCCTGGGGGTGTTGTTATACCACCTGTCCTCACTAAACCTGCCCCACTCAACTCCCCCCCCAGGACGAGGCTCTGAACGTGCAGGATCTCTCCAGCCTCCGAGCCCCACTGGAGATCCCCATCCCTGACCCGCCCCCCAAGGATGAGGAGGTGAGTGGGAGGGTGCTCATTCCCCTGCTTGGGGTGAGGGGGGGCGGCAGAGGGTCTGATCGCTGCTTTCTGCAGGCCAGCACCATGGAGACCGACAAGGAAGAGAAGAAAGAAGGTGAGTGTTGTGGGTGGGGTTGGGGGGCTGCTTTGGGGTTTACCCCCCCTGACTTCTCTGCATCTCACTCAGCCCCCAAGTGTGGGTTCCTGAAGGGCAATGAAACCATTGTGGCCCTGCTGGACCGGGTCAAGCCTGAGGTGCTGACACTCAAGGAGAAGTGCATCCTGGTGAGAGAACCCCCGGCCCCCTGAGCCCCTGCAGGGCTGTGAGCTTCCCCACAGTAGTGCCCTTACTACCTTGCTTCATCCTGCAGGTGGTCACTTGGATCCAGTACCTGATCCCCAAAATCGAGGATGGCAATGATTTTGGGGTGGCTGTGCAGGTAAGGAGGTGCCCACCCCCCAACTTCCTACATCCCAGATACCTGGGGACCCCTAGTCCAGCTATTCCTGGATTCCCAGAGGCCTCCAGCCCAGGTGCCCCCACCCTCTGCCTCCCTAGACTCCCACATGCCCTGCACCTCCAAAACCCCTGGGGGTCCCCAGCCCAATCATTCCTGCCCCCCCCCCACCCCACCCCACCCCCGTGCCTCCCTCTGCCCCCAGGAGAAGGTGCTGGAACGGGTGACAGCTGTGAAAACCAAGGTCGAGGGCTTCCAGACGGCCATTTCCAAGTGAGTCAGGCTGGGGCACGCTGGGTAGTGTCCCCCCACCCCATGACACCATGGGTTACATGTGCTCTGCCCTGTGGTAATGTCTGTTCTCCCAGCCCAAGATTGTGGGGGGCAGGCTTCCTGCCCCAGGGCATTATGGGTAAGGAGCTGGGAGCACCTGGTTGGCCTTGGTGCTGCAAAGCATTGTGGGGGCTATGCCTTTTCCCTACTTCAGCTTCCCTGCCCCAAGGCATTGTGGGTAGCAGCACCACATGGGTGCCCATGGCCACAAGGCATTCTGGGTAATGGTCCCAGGTTGGTGTCGGCACCCCACAGCATTGTGGATAGCTGCTCCTTATGGGTGCCCATGCCCTCAAAGCATTGTGGGTACTGGTTCTGAGCATGGCATTATGGGTATGACCCCTGAGCGCTCTCTCTCCTCGCCCCCCCCCAGGTACTTCTCTGAACGTGGAGATGCCGTGGCCAAGGCCTCCAAGGAGACCCACGTGGTGAGTGATTCAGCCCCCCGGGGCTGCAAGCTTCCTCCCGCAGTTCCTTCCGTCAGTCACCTCAGTGCATTGGATGCTGCAGACTTCCCTTGAACAGTGCCCTCCTCCAGCAGCAGTGGCAGGCACCCCAGTGCTGCAAGCTTCCCCCAGGAGCGCATCCCAGTCTAACCAGTGTCCTCTCCCCAGATGGATTACCGAACCCTGGTCCATGAGCGTGACGAGGCAGCCTACAGAGACATCCGAACCATGGTGCTGGACATTCGGGGCTTCTATGTGAGTTGTGGAGAGGGGGGTAGGGGGCTCTATTTTCTCTCTCCCCCTCACCTCACCCCCTGTTCTGTCCCCGTCCCCACCAGGCCGAGCTCTACCACATCCTGTCGGAGAACCTGGAGAAGCTGACGAACCCCAAGGGGGAAGAGAAGCCGTCCATGTATTGATGATGCAGCGCGGCCACAGCTGCCCCCATACCTGCCCCACAGTGGGTGGGAGAGGGAAGGGGCACAAGGTGGCATTTACAGGCAATGGAAATAAATGGTTTTCTCAGACACGGCCTGGCGTGTGCATCCCTGTCCTGAGCTGTCATGGGGGAGGTGACACCCCTTGTGTGTCATGGGGCATGGGGGCCTGTTGGCATGTGCCTCAGCATTGTGGGTAGGACCTCTCAGATGGAGGGCAGCACATCCACCTTCCTTGTTGCCCTCTGTGCCCCAAGACATTGTGGGTAACGCCCCTGAGGTGCCCTCCCCCCATGGCTGGCTATTGCCTGTGACCTCAGGGCTCAGGTGCCTGCGTCCCAGGGCACTGTCGGTAATGAGCACTTGTTGGCATCTGCCACAGGACACTGTGGGTATGGTGGGGGGCCTGTTAGTATCTACTGCAGCGCACTGTGGGTAATGGAGACCTAGTAACATCTGCTCCAGGGCACAGTGGGTAATGGGGTGTTACCAAAAACCTGATGCTATTCAGTCTTTTGAGAGACAAGACTACATCCCATTTATGATAAGGGTTTTGCCCGCTCAGACACAGAATTCAGTGATGGTTCCACTTCCCTTATTGACTACCATTTTTGTACACCCAGACAAGATACAACCGCATTTCCCAATGCTCCTCCATTCCCTCTGCCTGTAAAGCTTTACGACAACCCAAGTCACACAGAGGCAAGAAACGTCTAACAACCCAACCTTGTACCGATTATACCCCAAAGCACAAGAATAAGCACTTGTTTCTATATCTGTTTTGCTACTGGCAACAGCACAATACAAATTCTCACCTCTAGTGGCCAGGTGAGATGCAGGAGGGAGGAGAAAGTTGGCGTGCATGCTGGCAGCAGCCCTAAAGACTCCCTGTTCACACTCAATATGTGGGTTATTTAAATAAATATTCTGATCAGTGTTATTCAAATGTCTTTGTTTCACTGAAACTTTGGGAATGGAACCAGTTTTCCTGTGGGCTCAGAAGAGGCCAATTTGCTAGTGAAAATTTCAATCCAGGGAGAGAGAACTTCTTGCTTTCCCTCACCATCTGGGAATGCTCCTTGCCACGTTCTGCTGCTTTTACTTTGCTGACAAGGCCAGTTCTAACATTAGTTCATGGTGGAACAGGCTTTGTGGCCTGCTCTAGCCACACTTCTACAGGTGTGCCCAGGGGTAGAGGTCGCTAGCCCTCCCGGGTCCCTTGAAACAGCACTATACCTAGACTCCTGGCGGCCTCAGGTGAAGTTTTAGTATCAGGCCCCAATAATGATAACGGTGATGATAAAGAGATATAATAATAATATAGAAATTATGATAATAATAAGAAAAATTACCATTTTTGGGCCCCCTTTCTGTCCAGGCCCCAGGCAGCTGCCCAGTTCGCCCATGCCTGTGTCCAGCCCTGCCTTGAAAACAGCCAGACCTAGCAACAAGTTAACAAAAATGCACAATTATTGCACGAGATTTCTACCTATGTACAACTCACTTGCTATCAAAGGCAAAACATCAATCATTCCTTCTAGGTAGTTGCACGCTTTTCCAAAAAGCAGTTATTTGTTCTGGACCTAATCTAATATTCATGGCTTGATAAACAGGTTCTTGTTCTATTTGCCCAGGTGACTGCTTGTTATTTAAATGCAAGCTTATTGATGTATACCAGCTTCGTGACTCAGGCTTTTGCTCAGTCCACAGTCAGCAGTAGCTGGTGTGCTCTGTCAGGTCCAATCCATATGTTACACTTACAGTATTGCCAGCTCATGATTTTTGGCATTGTTCTTAAAGGCTATGCTTTGGGAATGTGACAAACTTAGCTCTTCCATATAAAAGAGCTCAGTTTTTCACATTCCTGAAGCATACACTTTAAGAACAGTGCCAAAAGTCATGAGAGTTGGCAACACTGCACTTATGACGTGATTAACCACTTAATCTTGTCTTGTCACCCAACCCTATGTGTACAGAATCCTAGAGGAGTGGGGCTGGAAGGGACCTCCAGAGGTCATCCAGTCTAACCCCCTGCCTGAGGTAGGATCATCCCTATGCAAACCATCCCATACACTCATAATTAAGCAATTAATAACATGATACAAGGAGGAATAGCCAATGCAGGGCACTAAGGGTACCTACCCCCCATCCCCACTCAGGCGCAGAGCATTAACCCCCCACAACTGAGGGCACGCTGGGGAAGGCCCGCGGGTGGCGCTAAGTCCGGAAAGAGGCCGCTTCTCTCCCGCACTGGCCGCTCTAGGCGCCCCCTCG